AATAAACTCCTATCTTATTCAGTTATCTAACTATTTTCTATCTAACTATTTCTATTCTTATTTAACCTGTAAATTTTCTATCTCTATGTCCTATTTCTATGTTCTTATTCCTATGTATGATCTTATGGCTTTTCTTACCTTGACTATTTCTTAGCTCTTAGTTTTCTAAATCTTCCCCTTTTCCCCAAGTCTTCAGCTCTTGTAGTCGATCCCAGTCCACTTGAAAGTGAATCCCTTTTTGCTCCTTTATAGACTTGCGAATGGGCTTTTCTGTTCCCCCCCCAACACTCACGGTCCTCTGTTTCTGGAGCTGGTTTGTAGAGCTCTGCACCTGGCTGCTGCACGCAGTGGGCTTGGTTTGGTTTGCAGGCTTGCTTCGGCCTGCAGAGTCGTGGGAGGGGGGGCTCTTTTCCTCCCCGGTCTCTCAGTCCTGCCTCTCAGCAGCCTTGCAGCTCCAAGAATTGAGGCTTTCTCTTCCTGCCTGTAGACTACTGCTGAGGAACTTGCCTTTGGGTTGGAGTCTTCTCTTTCTGGAGTCTCTGCTGTCTTCCTAGAGTAACTCCTTTCTTGACACGCCTGTGCACGTGCTTCTTTTCAGTCCCCTTTTTGTAAAACAAGTTAAGGAGTCAGGGGTGCTGTTTTGCCCCTCCTTCCCAGGTAGCACCAAAACTCTGGATCCCAGGAGGGAAAAAAACTGCCTGCTCACTCCAGGCGGTAAATTCACTCTTCCACACATACCCCTGCTATAGGATATAGAAGAGAATTCAAATCACTACTTCGGTTGTATTTTAATTCAATATTGAAAATAGTCTAGGCCATCATAATAGGTAAAATAAATGTATTTATACTGAAATTGAATTGAGCCCATTAAAATAATTTGTATGACTGACAGATCAGTGACTAATAATAGAACATTCCTGATTTTTCCAAATCCCAACTGAAAACTAAGGCAAAACGGAATGAACACTGCCAACAGGTATGATAAACATTCACAGCACAACACCAATAATGAGAAATACAGGGACTCCTCAACTTATGATCATTTGTTTAACGACCATTTGAAGTTATGATGGCACTGAAAAAAGTGACTTACAACTGGTCCTCACATGACTGTTGCAGCATCCCCACGGTCACGTGATCAAAATTCGGGTGCTTGGCAACTGGCATGTATTTACAAAGTTTGCAGCATCCCTGGGTCACATGATTGCCATTTGTGACCTTCCCAAGGGGCTTCCAAAAGGCAAAGCCAGTGGGGGAAGCCGGATTTGCTTAATGACCATGGTGATTTGCTTAACAACTGTAGCAAAAAAAGGTCATAAAATCGGGTGTGACTCACTTAACAACTGTATAGCTTCGCAATGGAAGTTTCGGTCCCAGTTGTGGTTGTAAGTTGAGGATTTCCTGTATTAGTTTCATTTGTTTTGGGTATTTTCACTGGTTGAAGTGCCTAGGTATAGGCCATCTTGACACAGTTTTCCACAGTAAATTACTAGAGTAATGTAAAATGACAAGGAAGAGAAAACTTGTGTAGTCCTTTTTAATTTGATCCTGTTAGTATAATCTCTTGTTGAGATCAGTTGTTCAGAAAGAGGCCATACCAGTGTTAGGAAACCTCTGAATCTAGAGAGGGGATCTGGTTCATTTCTTTAAAAGCCTCAAGATGTGGGGGATGGTCCATGGCAGCAATTGCTTTGTAGCCCCTGCAGCAGAATTGATGGGCTGATACAGTTGGCTTGAGCCAGAGAAACCCCATTTTGTCCATCTTTGTTCATGGTTGCTCCCCTTTGGCCCCTTTTACCCTGCACTGCAAATTCCTGGAATGATCATCCTGACCTAGAGCAGCATGAGACTCAAGGCCAACTCCCTTTTTCAGGCCAGCTCCCTTTTTTGTTATAGATAAATTAGCTAAAAGTTTTACATATTAGCCTTATCAACTAGAGGCAGATAGAAGGGAAGGGACTGCAATATTTTACCAAGGAGCCCACCTTTTGGGGAGGCTCTGCCCAATCAAGGGTGTGAATAATTTACTGCTTATTGCCTATTGCTTACTAATGATCACGTGCTTTTGTTTTCACAAATGTATAAAGACTATGCTAATGTACATATGGGAATTCTCAATTGGTGACTTAGGTCCCGAGAGTGCCTCTTCATTACTGTACAGAATCAACAGGTTGCAATTTCCCAACTTGTGTGTGATTTTGGCTCTTTGCACCAGGTAAATAATCCCAGCATTTGACTGGGCCAATCTACAGCTTGGCCAACAGTATTACCATTATTTTGATTATTTTGATTATTTGACCATTATTTTGATTACTTTACCATTATTTTGTCTCTATAATCTTACCAGCTATCTGTAGATTACCCAAATAGCATATGACAACAATTAACATTTTGGTACTTTAAAACTCAAATAGCCGTAGTGAGAGCAATCAAGACTGCAACGCGTGCAGAAGGATAATGAGCTCTTTCACCCTTCTTAAGAATTCTTCAGTTGTCAAATGACTGATAGCCCTGACAGCTGAGTTTCCATGGAGCCCCTGCAAGCTCTCTTCTGGGCTAAGAGCAGCTTGAGAGCATGGCAAGCAGATATAGGAAATCTTCCTCAGCACTGAGTTGGGGACAAAAGTTAACTCCCTGTCTGGTCCTCCCTGAATGCCCCAAGTTGTATGTTTGTCAGTGTAAGCATACCCATTGCTTTCAGATGATTAATGCAATTCAGGCTTCCCAAACCTGATGTTTTCTTTATGTGTTTGATGGCAGTGCTGAGTGAATGAGTCCAGCAACTAAGATGAAAGATGGGTGAGAAAACTAATCCTGCTTTCTTTTCTTATGATGATAGCTCAACCTTTTTCAACCCAGAACAGTTACTGTATTATGGAAGAAAACCCTACATCAGTTTTATACTGGGCATTCAGGTTAAATAGATTCTAGCTAGAAGCAAAGAGTCTGCAGATCCCTTCCTTTTGTAACTTGAGGAGGCCAATACCAGGAAGAGCCAAAATATTATGCAGATAGGAGACAGAATAAGGCAATGGGCTTGCCAGGAAAAAACAACAACAGCTCATTGGGGACTTAGTACTGCAGGTACTGAACATAAAGTACACAGTATCTTTAGATTCCTAGAAGTAAGATTTTTATACAGCACTTGCTATACTTCCAGTTATTGTAATCCCTCTTCTACCTTTTTTTTTAAACACAGAGCTGCCTGTTTTCCTTCAAATGCTGATCCTGCTCATTTAATCCTACCCTCCATGATCCATAGAACAGCCACAAATATTAGAATGAGTCCATGTGTAAAGCAGCAGCTAAGATGAAAGATGGGTGAGAAAACTGATCCTCTGTTTTCTTTTCCCAAGATGGTAGCTCAGCCTTTTTCACCCCAGAAGAACAGTTATTGTATTACGGAAGAAAACCCTATATCAGTTTTATACCGGGCATTCAGGTTAAACAGATTCTAGCTAGAACCAAAGCCACCATTATTTACTATGCCAGAACTTAATCTAATGCAATATTTATTCATATCCTTCTCTATTACTGCATCTTTTACCAATGCCCTAACAGGGTTTTTTTTTTTTTGGCTCATTTTAAATATTTTTTTTCCAGCTGACTTCTTCCAGGTTCAGCCAGCTAAGCAGTAACAGGGAGCAAACTGGATCAACAGGGCATCTTTCCCATTTAATAGGCTTCATCTAACTAGATCTTTTATCTTTACCAATTAATATTCATTGATTAACTCCTCTCTTGTGACAAAAGAAATTGTGGCAAATGCAGATTTCCATGCAGATATGAGAGAAACAGCCCCTCTATGAAACACACAGCGAGTTTGATCCACT